AGTATTTATAAATTAAGTATATTATCAAAATATGCGCAATTATGTATTCGATTATATGATTATTATGGAAATCTCTTTTATCATAATACAAGTGGAATTTCAAGGGTTATTTATTGTATATTTGTGACTTGATATATGAGACATATGATATTGAAATTTGTTTGGTATGTGAGACGTGATATTGAGATCGACCAGAAAAGTACTCGTGATTAAGTAATTCTTCTAGTTCACAGATGGACCTTGGCTATGTTCTATACTACACTGAGGGGTGGACTAAGGATGAAGGGGTCGTGACCATGCATATATAGTTCAATGAAGAGCCTTGACCGTATTCTATAATTGATTATCAGAGGTCTTGAGATCGGCTTTCGTTTATGGAGGGGCCAAAGGCCCGTGGCGAAGGTTTTTAGCCCGAGGGGGATTACAGATTTTAGTCAGAGGGTACATTTTTGGTGGATTTTCCAGTACATTTGATGTGATGAGATTATAACATGATTACCAACTTATGTTTATATCATGACTTGAGATGATATTTTACCATGTTATGTGATGTCTCAAGTTTTGGTTATAATTATATGATGTTATCTTGCGAGTTATCAATGATATAAACTCAATTTTCGATAAAAATATAAAAAAATGAAAAAGTATAATTATTTTCGAGTTTCTCCACTCACTGAGCTATCAACTCATATTCTCCGGTAATTTTACTATATGTGGAAATTGATTCTATTTAGCTAGAAGAGCCTAATGATTTTGAAATAAAAGCCACATGACATATTAAGTGTTATAATTCGTATTGATGAAGCACGAAGTAAATAATTTGAGCCAACACATTATATTTTACATAAGCATTAGATTTTGATGCATTCTTTTTTGTAACTCATAGTCAATCTTGGTGATAGATTTGACATCTAGTCAGCTCCTATTATCGGCGCACATATCGTTTCGAGTCCACTTGGGTGATTCGGGACGAGTCATGTCATTTGGCTACTGAGTTTCAATCACTTAGCTAGTTTTGTGTAAAACTAAAAATTTTAATGGGTTAAAACTAACACACCCCGCCCCATATAAAACTACTAGATCCGGACGTAGCATACACCGATTATAGATACCAACTAAAAGTCGGACCCATCATCAAGGCTACTACAAATACAATATATCACTTTTTATACATTATTTTTCTAACAAAATTTTGACATTATCTCCCCTGTAAACAGGACTAACCATTAATTTCACACAAATCCCAAACTATAGCACATCACAATAAAGATAAGCCGAAATCTCAACCTCTACCAAGAAATAAAATGAAATATACATATGGATACAAAATACATAGTGAGCCCATAACTATCTACAAGTGATACAAAGTCACATCTAGATATGAACATGTGTTTCAAAACACTAACTACATGTTCTATGAAGTGAGTCATATTAACAAACTCTATTGTGTGGCTCTGACTCCAAAATTAAGGTTCAACTCCAAAAGATACCCGGATTCTCCACTGTTGCTTGATAAGGAAAAACGTGAAAAAATATATGAGTTGATAGCTCAGTGAATGGAGAAGTTCAAAATAAATATACCTTTTCATTTATATATTTTTATTGAAAATCAAATTCATATCATTTGATAATTCACAAGCTACCATCATATAATTATAGCCAAAAAGTGAGACATTTACATAAGGTCATAAAATATCATCTTAAAATCATGATATAACATCAGCTGATAACCATGCTATAATCTCATCATATCAAACGTGCTGAAAAATCTACAAAAATGTACCCTCTGACTGAAATATGTAATCTGCCTTTTGGGCTAAGAACTTTCGCCAAGGGCTTTGGCCCTCTCCGTGAATGAAAACCAGTCTCAAAGACCTCTTATTATCAATTCTAGAACACGATCAAGGCCTCTCTATGAATTATATGTACACGATCAAGACCAATGTGAAGTTAAGACCCTCCGTGTAGGATAGAACATGGCCAAGACCCCTCTGTAAACTAGAAGAAATATATAATCATGGGTACTTTTCTGACCGATCTCAATATTGCATGTCTCACATACCAAACAAATCTCAACATCATATGTCTTACATGCCAAGTCACAAATATGCTTTAAATAATTTTTGATATTCCACATGTATCATAATAAAAGAGATTTTCATAATAACTATGTAATTCAAACACATAATTGCATATAATTGCACATACTTTAACAATATGCTTAATTTATAAATATTTTAAAAATATTTATATTTTTCCACTCACAGAACTATGTACGCCAAAATCAGCTCGATTGGTACGCTATCCCGATATTCGTATCGCTGCCTGAGATATAATATAATTTTTAAATCAACAATTAATTAATTTAAGTAATTTCAATAATTAAATAGGCGATATCCAAACTTAATTATTTCACGTTTAGGCGATTTCTAAAGTCTCTTTAATTATTAAAACTAATTTTTCTTTCATTTTACTCAATTTTCTAGTTTATTATACTTAACTCTTTCAATAAAACTAAATTTAATCTAACAATTTAATAACTATAAAGTCAAACACAACATTTTAATAAGTAACTTTTTACTTACCTTTCAAAATTGAAGAATTCAAGCCTAATAGTATAACCCACTTAATTCCTAACATGTTGGCAAATTTTCTTTTTTTTTCTTCCTCTTTTCCCCTTTTCTCCCTCTTTTTTCCTTTCTCTTTTTCTATCTTCTTCTTCTCTGCACCGTTGTTCTTGAGTGTGTATTATGTCTGTGTGTTATTAATTAATGGTTTGGATAGATTTATAAGGGATCGTTTTGAGTTTCCACCGCCTGCCCCCTTTTTTTTGTTTGATGTTTGACTTTAAAAAAAAAAAAGTTAATGTATTATAAAAACCGCAGAAAAAATGAATGCAGAGACCCTTCTTTTGAGAAGGAACGAATTAAATGGGCAGTAATGGAAATAATAAGGTAGAAAATTGTAGCTCGGATATGGATGCAAAGTATCTACAAGTGTGACATAAAGAATTGAACAAAACTAGGGGTGAAGGGTACACTGATATATATTACATGTTTTTCTCCTGTATATGTTTCTAAACTAGCTTTTGGTGAAGTTGATGGGGGCAAGGGAGGATGTAGAATTGAAACAATAATGATCATGTAAGGAAAATGTGAACATAAGGACAGCACAAAATCATAAGTATTCTAGTATCTCGTGGTGTTTCCAACAAATCTTTTGATCATTAATAGTGCGCGAATGCCATTGAACATGTTCATTTGAAAGTCAATGTGGGACTGTGGGCAGTACTATTCACGAGTGCAATAGTGCCCTCAATGTGAGATGGCTTGATCTTTGTGTTTCTATGTCTAAGGTTTATGCTTTGTACCTTAGACTACACATAATTAAAGATAAAAAAAATAATGTGAGAAATTAGTTATTTTTCTATCCCATCTTGTCTTATCGAGAATATACTCCTCTTCGATATATCTTAAACTTTAAAATAATGTGGTTTAAAATGGTACCGTGTCATGGTACCGTGTCACATAAATGTCTTAAGTTGAAGTCCTTAGATACCAATTGACGTAGCGGAAGGTTATAGGAATGATAAACAAATCTCACAAGATGAAAAAAAAAAAAGCCCCACGTAAAGATTTTACTTCTGTCAATGATGGTTGACAATCATTATCATTCATCAATTTCAAAAAAAAATTAAAAATTGTTTTTTTAAATCGATTGTCTAGATTTTGCCACATCAAACATCGTCAATTATGATTGTACAAGTAGATTAATTTTTATAAGAACATAATGGGATTACAACACATGCGTGATCATGCACATACTTTAACTCTTAACTCGTATGAGATTTAAAAAATTTCAAAAACACCCATGTATAATATTGCGGAGTGTTGCCCCCCACCCTCAACCTATTAAACGTCCCTAACAAAGTAACTGTAAGCTACAAGCACTTCGACCTATATTTTAGTATATATATATTCCACTGTATAAGGTGCATATTATAAAATATTAGCGTTAATAAATAAGATGAGGAAAAATTTAAGCTTAAATTATCTTTTGAATACTCTGATACTATGTCAAAACATCTTACCTTTTAAACTCCTAAAAAATATGTATTTGCATATTTTAGATTTAATCTATAACATCTGAGCTCAAGAGCAAATGTTTTGACACAAAAGATAACAACTAAAAGCATGCCATAGTTCTAAAGTAAAGGAAGACAAATTTGATCGCAAGTGGGGGTTGATTACGATGTGTGGGATGGGGTGATGTTGGTATTGATGGAGTTTGTTGGGTGAGCTTGGCCGGGGTAAATTATATTTTTCTAATTTTTTTATGTATTAATAATTATTTAATTATTCTAAATGAAATATATTTGTACTTTTTGAAAGGTTATACGATATTATTTTTTGTTGTTTAATAATTTTTTATTTATTTAAAAAAGACAAATTAGTCATTTAATGACCAATATGGAGGGAATGATGTATAATGTATTTACAAATTGAAATACTGGAAGAATTTTTCTTGGGGTACATAACTTCTGATATAAGGATGTTCAAAATGGATATCACGTACCCCAGTAATAACCCATGTTGGGATGACTAATGCTAAAAAAGGTTTAGGTATGTTTGTTACACTTTCAAACGTTGGAGACATAAGTGCAAATTCGCTTTCAATGAAGATGAATCCCTTTCTCCTTTGGCAATTTGCAAACCAACTTTATATTTTTTCCGCTACTTAAGCTCGCTTTCTGACTTTGGTGCTTTCTACTTTCTCTCTCTAGGGTTTCTCTTCTGCAGGTGGAGGTCGTAATCTCTTCCCTGAATTAGAAAATGTTAAATTGTTAAAGCTTTCTATTTTATGCAAAAAAAACTGAATGATTCTTCTAACTGACTACCTCTTACTTTTCTATTTATATTTATACATGTATATAAATATGTATATTTTTACACATATATAGATAGATCCTCCTACTCTCTCTCTCCCTCTCTCTCTCTCCCTCTCTCTCTCTCCCCCCCTCCCTCTTGGCTCTGATTTCCTTTTTTATTTTTTTATTTTTTGGGTTGTGGTTGTGGTTTCAGATTCTGTATTGTACTTGAAGATATGCTTTGCTTCTTTTTTTCTTATTTCTATCAAGAATCATGCTTATTTCTATCAAAGACCAAAGTTCTATGATTTCTTTCTCGTCCCTCGATCTCTGTATATTTCTGTGGGTAACTGACGTGATATACGTATCATCTGTTCGCAGTGAGTGTACTGTGAAAATGGTGAGACAGAAGATTCAGATCAAGAAGATTGATAACTTGACTGCACGCCAAGTGACCTTTTCAAAGAGAAGAAGAGGGGTTTTTAAGAAGGCCCAAGAACTCTCCACTCTTTGTGATGCTGAGATTGCCCTAATTGTTTTTTCTGCCACTGGAAAACTCTTCCATTATTCTAGCTCATGGTATTCTAATTTCTTCTCCTGATTTTCTCTCTTGAACACACACACAACATGCCACTGGGGACGAAGCTTTGATGCTTTTGGCGACTGAGCTTTCAATCACAAAGCTAGATTTGTATTGAAAAATAAAGATATTAATAGGCTAAAACAACAGTAAAAATGATTAGAGAGACTTCAGAGAAGGTACGAATTAAATGGGCAGTAATGGAAATTATTAAGTAGAAAATTGCAGCTCCAATATGGATGCAAATAATCGGGAAGTGTGATACAAAGGATCGAACAAAACTTTGGGCGAATGGTACACTGATATATCATATATACCACATGTTTTTTCTCCTGTTTGCTTTTGTGAAATAGCTTTTGGTGAAGGTAGTGGGGGCAGGGGATGATGTAGAGTTGAAACAACGATGACCATGCAGGAAAATGTGAACACAAGGATGGCACAAAACTGAAAGTATTCTAGTATCTCGTGTTGTTTTCAGCAAATCTTTTGATCTTCAATAGTCAGTGGATACCATTGAATATGTTCATTTTTAGAGTCAATGTGGGACTGTGGGTAGTACAATTCATGAATGCAATAGCGTCCTCAGTGAGAGATGTCTTGGTTTCTGTATTTTGTGTCTAAGGTTTTCACCTTAAACATGTGAGAAATTAGTTGTTTTCCTATCCAACACTGTCTTGTCGAGTAAAAACTCCGTTCGATATATTAACAGTTTTAAAATAATGTGGTATAAAATGGTATCATGTCATGCAAATATCTTAAGTTGAAGTGTTTAGCCACCCATAATTATGAAATTGGTGCATGCCTTGTAGCTTCGACTAGAAAATACTGATTCTGGCTTGCACCAGATTGGATTGGTTAAAAATCCATTGGTTTACCATTCAATCAGATATCATCTTTAACAGTTACACTGGTTGCTTCTATTGCTTAAACAAGACATAGACCTATTGAAATTTCAAAAGTTGGCATCTCACATTTACATATGAAATGAAAAATCTTTATATAAGATTTTGCGAGTAGTAATCAACATCTATGAAAACACTTAATTAATTTATGTTATCTAAAAATGGTTTAGTATTAATATTCTGACGTTTCAAAGTGGTATTAAGTTCGTACTCATACAAGTATAAATAAGGTTGCTATATTTCTTGCTGGCACCTGAAAGGAAAAACTGAAAACTTATACATAGCCGGTTAAGTTTAATTCTACTGCTTCCATTTTGATTACTATTTGATTTTAATATTACTAATAAAATGTTGGGGATCGATAGATGATGAGGGTGGTAAATAGGTGCTGACCTAGTTAGGACATCCAGGTGTACATATCGATTCAATGAAACTGCATGCATTTTCAATGAACCTTCTAGAATTTAATATGGTTCAATGTATGTACCGAAGTGGAAATTTTTTTTTTCACACTGTTAGTTTCGTATTCATTACAAAATACGCAATAATTCATACAATTGAGTTTTGTATTCTATACCAAACATGCCATTCTATTTATAAAATATATTAGAATTTTATTTTGTCTTTTCCTATTTTAATTCGTTGAGAACTTGTTCCCCCATGTTATATTCTGCAGCATGATGGAACTTATTGAAAGGCATAGAAGGCAATCAGAGAACTCGAGCAAATTAGGGCAACCATCTCTCCAACTTCAAGTGAGATCACACCATTTATAGACAATTCGAATTTAAATTTGTCGTTTGTGTTTATGCTTTATATACTGAAATTATAACAAGAAAATAAAGATGAATAAGACTTCGACATCAATTAATGCAGTCAATTTTAAACATTACCATATGAGATTAAATAATGCAAACAAGATTATTTCCAGCTCATTAAATGTAGATTTATTTTTGTTGTATTTACCCCCATTTGGGCAATTAAGTCTATGATGCAAATAGTCCCATTTAATTTGAGATTATATTTTTTATTTTTATTACCTTAATATATAAGTCTTTTATCTTTTTATGTTTAGTACGATTTTTATTAGGATTAGGAGTTAAATCAAAATATTAAGTTTTCTGGATTTTTTTTTTCTTTGCATAAAATCTACTTAGGAGTAATTTGGTGTTATAATTGTGTTGTAGGATTGAGGGTGAATAGAAAGTTTGACTTTTTTCTTCAATTATCCACCTAAATGGTTAATTCGTGCACGCATTTTCCTTTTTAATCTCTTATTTGTTATCGTCTAGCTTCCACCCACATCGGTTGGTATTATAGCCTAGTCTACCCTTCTAACAATTAATTGATGAGGACAAGGTAGCTGTCATTGTGCCATGATTGACAATGGAAACCAAAGGCATGAACTAAGACAAATCTTCTAACATCTTGAAGTCGTAGCACAAAAGGTGGCCACATTGGTTATACTTGCACATCAGATGGTGGGTGACCTTTATATCTAAAACTAATTTATTGAAATAGAATAGCTCCAATACCACTTGTTGGAGATGAAGGAGGTGAATATGACACAATGTGAATTATATGATTGCATACAAAAAACAAGATTAAAAGTAAGAAATAGATTGACTGAGGGATCGAGTATTTTATTTGACAACTAATGGAGAAAATAATATTGTCACAGCAATTTCAGCAATTCTTCTAAACTAAATGAAGAGTCTATTATTTATAGGGGACATGTCGAAACCCTACAAGTAAATTAAAAGTTGGTAAGTAGGTTAAAATATGCGTGAAACAGATAAAAGGAGAAAATCCCAGATGACGCTATCGCTCGAGCGGCGTCTAGCGCCAAGTGAGCAAACGCCCTGTCACTTGAGTGAAATCTCAGCAATAGATGGGTAATAGCTCCCTACTCCAAAAGTTTGCCTACTACTCGATCGGCCACCTAGTGGTAGGCTAGCAAAAATGCGAAGACTTTCTTCCCTGTTCATTACTTTGATCTCTTCAACACCACTTCAACTAAACTCTAATACCGACTAGAATTTTGGTCAAAATACAACAATGGCGATGGGCAAGAGGCATGAGGTGGTGGTCACAACGTGCATGTTATGACTGACAAGGCTGGTGGGAGCCTGATTGTTGATAGGTTTGCAAATGGAAAATTCAAAGATGGATAGTGTTCTGGCAATTGAGGGGTTGACGTTGGTTATGGGATTTGCGAGCAACCTCCGTGGGGACAACAATATGAATTGGATCAAATACACTTCTTGAAACATTTAGAAATTCCAGAATTTTGCAGTGCAATAACTTGAATTTTTGGGTGATTTCTTAGGGATAAAATGGGATAGAAATGAAAAAATCTATTAGTTGCTCAAGTTTTTCAAGATATTTAGAGGCAAGATATCTACGATAATGTCTCTGTCATTTACGTATCAATTAAGTAAATGTCCCTATAAGGTGTTAGACGAGCGACGAAAGATTCAAGGATGAATCTTTTCCAATCCAAGGTGAGTGGTACAAGTGGATCCCATTTAATATAATATTTTATTGTTTATTTTTTGTTACTGTTATTTAATTACTCTTTTATCATCTTATGTCCAATAGGAACTATATTTTTATTAGGAATTTAATCAAAACAGACAAATTTTCTATCGATTGTTTTGCTTTGAAAGTCTAGTTAAGGGTTTTGATTTTGAATATTGAATTAAAACTTGAGTTCTCTTTTCAGTTACCTACCTAAATGGTCAATTCGAAAAATTTATTTTTGTAATTTTAATTTCTGTTATCCCTTTATACTTCTGCTTGCATCTAATTCTAATAAATAATCCAATTCCATTTTTGAGAAATGTTGTCAAATTTAGCAAAGTCTTAGTTCGTAAAGTCTAAAATAAAAATTATATGTTAAATAGCTATGGTAATTAAGAACTTGTTAGCAACCAGTTTCCGATTGTCTCAAACAAATAAATCCATCAACTTGAAGAAATTTATCGAATCTTTTCTACGCCCTTTAGACTTGCTTTAAACTATAAAAGGCTCTCTTCAACTTCAAAACCTTGTCTTCGTGCTTTTTCACAACAAACCCATGACCAACGGCGGATCTAGATGGTGGCGAGCTAGGTCGGCGGCCCTAGCTGAATCTGCTGGGAGATTTTTTTTTTCTTTTTTTAACAGTAGATTAAATTTTATATTAAGGGTAATTGACTCTATTTTCAAACATCCCTTATAGCTCAGTTGGTTAGAGCTTGCACAAACATATTTGAAGTCTCATGTTTGAATCCCTTTTCAACGGATTTGTTGTGTATTATTTTTACTCTACAATTTTAATCAAAATTCAATAGGGAGAGGGACAATGGGGATTCAAACCTGTGATCTCTTGCAAGAGTTATTGTAAATTTAATCATTATGGTACCTCTTGAATTGTGTCACTAAATTTAACAAAATAATGATTAGGTTTTAACTGTTTTAATACAAACAATTTTAAAGATTCAAATCTGCACTCTTCCTTTGAATTATACAAAATTTGACAACAATGTCATTTAATGAGTTCTGTTTATTTTTATAAGAGAATTTTATATGTTCAATTTGAACAAAATAATTGTTATATTTGAACTTTAGGCCTTGTTCGGTTTCTATTTTTTTCAAAATACATTTTCTCTCAATTCTTTCCATCCATACATTCTTTAATAAAATAATATTACACGTAACTTCAATTTTTTTTTGGTATTTTTAGTCACACGTTCTCCGTCAATCACTATTCTAAAATGCATTTTTTTGCGAAAGAATGGGTATCAAAAGGACTTAATATTTCATTGCAGCCGATTTGTAAATAGTCAACGACCGTCTTTGCTGACTCAAACTCCTGAATTCGCCCCTACCCATGAGGTTGTAGTATGTATACGTTTTGTTGTAGAAATTCATTCAAAAATGTCGATTGAACATCCATTTTATGCTGCCAGGAAAATTATAAGTCTTATTATTTCGAAAAGAGCTACTGGTGCAATGATTTTGTCATAATTGACATCATGTTCCAGATTGTAACATTTAGCTACCAACATTTGTCTTGTAGCATTTGATTTCACCATTTACATTGTTTTTTTTCCTCAAAAGTCCATGACTCCAATTGGCTTTTGACCAGTAGGTTGCATGACTAACTCCCAAGTATCATTCTTCTTAATAGATCTCTTCTTTCATGGCTTTCTCCATTATTATTTCTAACAGCATAAATGAAATTAATAATCGCATGCTGGGAAAATAGAAAAAATAAAGTTATTTCCTTAAGATGTGGATATAACTCTTCGGTATCGTTACAATTCTATTGAAAATATCTAAAATGATATGGTATTTTACTTGAGGATAATGAAGGTGATGATACATCTTGGAGGTAGAACTGACGGTGTTAATTAAGGCGGAATCACATCACCTTGTTCTCAACTCCTTTTTCTTTATCCTATGCCGCGTATCCAATTTAACCGCAAAGAGAAAATTGTTTCCTAATTGGGTTAACTGAGATCATTGACAGTATGTCCCAATTTATGCCCATATTGATTTGGCTTTAGCATAGTATAGGAAGTCTTTGCTTGATTGAGAGCTTCTAGAATGCCATTCATTGGAGATGGAAAAAAAAAAAGTTCTAATGCCATTATGTGGGCATCCGAGTTTGAAGAAGAGTAAGTAGTTTCAAGCATGAGAAAAAGGGAGATGGACAACCATTGATAAGAATTGACATATTCGTTTTGGCAAAGAAGGAGCCAATTCTAAAAGTGCTTTTGCCTTTGATCCAGTGGTAAGCCTTTCAAGTTCTTGAAGAAATTATAGTTTTCTTCTTGCTCAGTTTCAACGTCGAACTCAACATCTCTACTTGTGATCACATTCTTATTTATTGTGTTGGAGAGCTAGTAATCTTTTGATCTTGAATCATAGCCTATTAAGATTTATTTCTAACTGTTGTCATCTAATTTGGTCCTTCTTTCTTTCGAAATATGAGAAAAAGCAATGCTTATGAAAACTTGAATGTAATATACTTTACTTGAGTTCACTCCATGCTTCTTGATGAGTCATTTTGCACACTTTGGTGGGACAACTATTCAACAAATGCACAGCACGCTAAGCAATTTTAGTCAAAACTTTTTTGGCATCTTCTTAGTTTTCAGCATACTTCAAGTCATTTTCATTATTGTCATATTCTTTTCTCTGCTTCAAGTCATTTTCATTATTGTCATATTCTTTTCTCTGCTACGCCATTTGTTTAGAAGACAAGTGAACACAAAAAAAAAAATGATAAAATGCCATGATCTTAACAAAAATTCTTGAATGTGTTGCTAACATAATCACCACCATGATTTGAGCATAAGTTTTTGATCTTGTGACTACTTTGATTATTCACCATTGCCTTGAAATTCTTGTAAGCTTCAATTGGATCAGACTTTTCTATAAGAAAATCACCTAATATTTTACGAGAAAAGTCATGAATAAATGAAATGAAGTAATTACTTTTATCAAATTATGCAGGCTGGAGCGATCCATAGAGATCCATATGTACTAATTTAGTAGTCTTGATGCTCGAAAACTTGCTTCTTTCGGGAAAGTTTTCTGATTTCTTTTCACAGGCTCTTCGCAAAGTCGATTTGGATGATAAATATGTTATGGCCCCTTCACCATATTTCACTTTGTAAAGATTTAGACCGTCAAAATTTAAATTGCCAAGTCTCAAATGTAATAGACATGTTGAATCTTTCACCTGTGCCTGCAAACACTCTACTTCTCAACTTTGAATATTCACAAGATTATCTGTTTCTATATGATTGGAACTCTATGAATAAAAATTGGATAAAATTCAAAACATTTGTCTTCATAAAAGGAATATAGTAAACACTGAATATGTATTGTTCTTCATTCTTCATTTGGATGAGAATTTTACCTTTGACTTGCACCTTTGAATCATTACCAAATGTGACGTGGTGAGTTAGTTCTTCAAGTTCCATGAAGATAGATTGATCTCCACACATATGATTACTTGCTTAGGTGTATAAGTACCAAGAATTATTGCCTCCTTTTACCTTGTATTTTCAAGAGTAAAATTCATTTTCGTATCTTTATTTTAATCGTAGGTGGATTGCTCCCCCACATTGTTACTTCTGCACTAACATACAAAATGACTGAGCTTGTGAACATTATATCATTCAATTTGAGATTTATCATATCTTCAACCATTATTCTTTTCTTCCTCTTTTTTGAGATTGTCTTCCTCACCCTCTTGAATTATATGAATATTGGATTGATGTTGAGAATTTCTTTCTCCAATTCTATGTCCTCTTCCATGTTTTCTACCTCTTTGGTTCATATTGTTCTTCTTACACGTTCTTTCCTTTTTTCAACACCTTTTCTTTGTAAGTTTGTAGTGTACTCACAGTTTCATCGATAATCATTTCTTCCAAATCTTTTGATTCTTCTACTGCCACTGCAATGAAAATTAAATTTTTTATGTAATAATCAATTTTTTTTGCTGATTACTAAAATCACTTACTTCTTTACGATGCCTTTTCATCTCATTGATAATCACCAATTGTCGTGAAGAGTAATTTGAAATTCGTACAGATACTTTTGCAGATAGAGCTTCATGTTCTCGTGCCAATGATTGAAGACGAACCTTTTTAATTTTTTTCGCACATTTGTATATAATTTGAAAAATCCCATATGCTTGCTTTGAATGGTAGCATTTTTTACACCTTTTGAAAAATTGTATCATTAAGATCTTGATGAATCGTGTTGAGAGCCTTTTGATTCTTCATCTTAGTTGCTTGTTGCAAATCTATTCGTGTTTAAGATCCGCCTTCTTCATTTTAAGTTTCAAAACCTCTCTCTACCAAGTCCGCAAATTTTGAGTTCCAACATATGCTATCATACGGATACATCACTTACTATAGTTATCATCAATGAGTTGATGAACGGAAAGATAATTATTGTTTGTGATCTCTTATTTCCACAATCTTATAAATGGCTCTAATGCCACTTTTGTTGGAAACTTGGAGATGGAAAACTTTTGGAAGATGAAAAATAATATTCTCTTTATTTCTTAACTCCCCAAAATGACTTATGGAGCAACTTATAGAAGATAAGACAATATTCAAGTGAATGCTCAACTTTATATGTTGACACTCCTAAATAACTTATGGAAAATGAGTACATTCACTGATATTTCATAGGTTTCACAAATCATGAATTTAATCAAATACATGTACTAGTTATTATAGGAAAACAAATCTTGAAAATAATTCATATATTTTCCAAGTACATGAATAATCCCAAAAGACATGAATGAACTTAACTAAATAAATGTTGAACTTGAATAAAAAAATGAAGAATATATTTCAACAATATAATGCCAAAAACACAAAATGTTATGTCATGTGTGATATTTGATTAACCCTATTTGCATTTTTCTCTCAGGGAAATGATAGCCATGGCTTGCTCAGCAAGATGCTAGTGGAGAAGACTCGTGAATTAAGGTGAAATATGGCTGTGAATTAAAGATTTGCTGTTACGCATACTCAAGTGCATTGCACAGTTGAGACACAATTATAACTATGATAGGCAACTCAAGGGAGAAGAGCTCCAAGGACTTGACACGGATGAGTTGATCAACCTAGAGAAAAGGGTACAAGGAGTACTAAACCATGTTGTGGAAACAAAGGTATTATTACCTACAATTCCGTGTTTTCCAGTGTTTCCTGTTTAGATTTTTTGTGCTAACATCTTTGTCTTTCTGTGGGAAGAATGACAAGTTTTTTAAAGAGATAAATATGCTCATGAAAAAGGCAAGACCTCAAACTTTATCTTTTAATGAAAAATATAATCATGCTGCTCCTTGTTAAGAGTTAAATTCGGTAAATAGATAAAATCAACAACTAAAGGCTTAAGCTAATTAGTTGACTTTCCTTATATGCAGGAATCGATTTTAATGGAAGAAAATGCTAAGTTGAAACAGCTAGCAGAAGTGAGAGTTGATCTTTTATTTCCAAAGTTACATATCATTTCTCATACTGCATGCTCGCATTGGAATTTAGTAGTAAATTTCGCGTTCTCAAGTCATAAAGTGAGCTGTTTATGCAGAAACCTGATGGTACTGGAAATATTATTGAGCAAAGCAATTCATCCGAGTGTATCACCAATTCTCATGGCTCTGATACTTCCCTCAGGCTGGGGTACTAAATTTTTCATTAGATTCATGTGACCTAATTCAAATTTAAACAAAAAAGTACTGTCTTAGTAGGCTGTAGTCTCAGATCTTTTTGACCGTGTGTTTATGTTAATTTTGGCAGCTTACCTTTCCCCAACTGAAGATGATGCTAGGAGACTGCAGCAGAGAAGGATAATTGTCTATTTTTCTTAATAGGATATGATTATAAATTGTTGTGTAAGTGAGTTGAGTGTTAGGGGCCAATGTTGTGGATTTACGTGGCTTCTGATCATCTAAATCTTCTGTTTTGAATTTGCTTGTGCCATACATTTATGCTGAAATCATGCTATTGAAATCATACGATCCAAGGAAATTTACGAGGTGCATAAAAGTGAAATTTTGATTTCTTAACACATGAAATCGAAGACAATGTTCTGATTTTTGAACAGGGATGAACTGAAATTTGACTGTAGTCAGTTGGGCGGTTTAAAAAAAATAAAATGTTAAATTTACATTTTATATTGTCAATTAGAAAAGTTGTTCTGATAAAAGAAAAAAAAAATGTCATCTTTCTTAATTTGACTTTTATGGCATTTTTGGATTTATATTTCATAAATATCACGGTTTTTGGATTCTTATCCTTCTCCAATCGCTAGAGAACTTAAGCCCCTATATGTCTATCAATATTTTATGACTTTTTTTTCCCCTTCTTTATGTTCATTTTCAATTACGTTCTCTTACAGTAAAATATTTTGTAAATAAATTCAATTTTTTTTCACATTTTTAACCATACATTTTATAAAAATTCATATACAAACAGGGGCGTGGTCCATGCATTTTTGTTAAGAATATATGGCTTATCTCGTACTATCAAAAGCAATACTTACACGCAACAGAAATCTAAAACAAGCGCACATAATTTAGTCCCTATTTGGTAGAAATTTTCTGAGAATAGATTTCGTTAAAAAAAAAAGAGTTATTGGGAGAATATGCGATTAAAAAGAATGGAAAAATCATAAATTTACGTGAAATATTATTTTATTAAAAAATATATAGTTAAAAATGAGTTTTTGAAGGAAAATGAGTTTTAGAAAACGAGGGCCAAACAAGGATTTAAGAGTCTCTAATCTCTGTGCAATGGATACGTTCACTTGCTGCTGCAGTGTTTCACTTTAACAAAAGGGAAGCAATTTATGTTCTGTTTGACCATCACCAAAATGAATTTTACATTAAGCAAAAGATTTCGAATTCAATTATAAATAATCAAAACCAGAGAAAGAGAGAATAATTAAATAGAATGAACCTCAGATGTCCAAATTCTTGATATGCAAATTGTGCAATAACATCCTTCAGAATTGGACTCAAATTGGCCTGTTTAGCGCCGATAGGAGGCGGTTCATGGCGAGACTCGGAGCCAACTTATCCAAGCCTTGGGCGAAAGCTCCATTTCTTCACCTATATATACACGGGATATTTATTCTGTTCGATGCCACGTGTCAAGGTAGATTTATTTTCCTCCATGTGGCCAAATAAATCTATAATGCAAGAGTCCGTTTAATTTAAGATTATATTGTTCAATTTTATTATTTTAATTGACTAGTCTATTATCATTTTATGAGGATTGGGAGTTTAATCGAAATAAGTAAATTTTCTTGAGTTTGTTTTGCTTAAAAGGCTAGTTAGGAGTGTTGAATAAATTTAGTGTTATAATTGAATTGTAGGGTGGTTGATTTTTGATATGAATAGAAAGTTTGAGATTTATTTTTATTTTTTTATTTTACATTTATCCACCTAAATGATTAATTTGTATGGGAATTTTCATTTTTAATCCCGTATTTGTTATTATTTAAGCTTTTGCATGTGTTAGTTGATATCATAGTTAGTCTATGCTCCCAATAATGGATCGAGGAGGACAGGTTAAACGTCTTATTTTCATGGTTGATAATGGAAACCGTAGACATGAGCTAATACAAATTTGTCAATATCCTCAGGTTGTGACACAAAAAGGTGGTCAGATTGGTTATCCCTCCACAGTAGACGGTGAGTGACCTTTATGAAGATGGGTGAGAGGCACGAGGCGGTGGCAATGGCATGCATGTTATGGCTAAAAGAGACTAGTGCAATGATGGGTTTAGTCGAGAGCTTGACTGTAGATATGTTGCAAATGGAAAACACAGAGATGAAGAGTTTTCCAGGAATTGAGGGGCTAACGTTGGTTATGAGATTGGCGAGCAACACCTGTGGGGACAACAATTCATATTGTTGTATCGATGTTAAGATGGAGTCGGACACAAATTTATAAATCTTTGAGGAAGAATATGGATCAACTTACTGATTTTGAGAATCAACTCTCAATGTCATAAGATGATCATCATGAAATTATGGCAGTTGGTAAAATTGGAACCGCAATGATGTAAATGAAATAATTTGCACACTTAAATGGTCAGTTTCTAGTAGAAGGCCACGTGGTTGAAAAAGTCATAGGGTCAAATATACTTGGACCATTTGGAAATCCCAAAATTTTGCAACGCAATAACTCTAAATGTTTCAGTGAATTTGTTGGGATACTGTCGGATAGAAGTGAAAAAATTTAATTAATTGCGTGATTTTTTCATGATCTTTAGAATCAAGATATATGGATAATATCTATGAAATTTACATATTTGTTGAATCACTGTCCTTGTGAGGTGTTGGATGAGTGACTAAAGATTCGAGAGTGAGTCTTCTCCAACCCAAGGAGAATCATGCAATTGGACCCCGATTAATGTAATATTTTATTGTATAATTTTCTTCTCGTTAATTAATTAATTTTCTAATCCACTCCTAAACAAATAAACATCTTGTCCACTCAACTAGTTTCCAATTGCCTAATCATTCTTAATTGCTTTAATCATTTCTTTAATGTCTTTCTTTCATTTATCATCTTGAATTGTGTCCTTGAAATCAATAGCAGCATGATCGGTAAATAGACAAAACAAAGTTAATTTCCCAAGATGTTGACATAACTCCTCTGTATCACCATAAATCTCTCTAAGACTATTAAAATGATGTGGTATTTTACTTGAAAATGATGAAGATGAACGTATATCTTGACCATAACTTGGAGGTGGAGTTGATGGTGTTAGTTGAGAGGGAATCACATCAACTTGTTCATCATCATGGAAAGGAAAAAAATTATGTTATAATCTTGCTGCTTTAGCCAATTCCAATGTTGAACAAAACATCTCTACTAGTGATCACCTACTTATTCATTGGGTTGTATAGCTTATTAACTTTTGATCTTGAACATAGCCAACTAAGATATATTTCTCTCTTGCATCTAGTTTTATCTTTTCTTTCAGAACATGAGATAAAGTAACGCTCTTGAAAATCAAAAAATGTGATATACTTGGCTGGAATCCACTCCATGCTTCCTTTGGAGTCATTTTGCACACTTCGATGGGACAGCGATTCAACAAAGATATGGCACACTGAGTAGCTTCGGCCTAGAACTTCTTTTGCATCTTCTTAGTTTTCAAAAAGCATGGAGTCATTTTTATGAGTCCTACTCGTCCTCTTTGCCATTAAAGAATGATAAATACCATGATCTTTACATATACTCTTGAATGTGTTGCTAATATATTCACTACCATGATTTGATTATGAGGTTTTGATTTTGTGACACTTTGATTTTTCACCATCGCCTTGAAATTCTTGAAAGCTTCAAATGCATCGATCTTTTCTCTAAGAAAATACACTGGTGTTTTGTAAGAAAAGTCATGAATAAATAACATGAATTAATTACTTTTACCAAAAGATGCGGGCTTGGTCATTCCCCAAAGATCTGTATGCACTAATTCAAGTAGTCTTGATGCTTGAAAACTTGCTTCTTTCGGGAATGCCTTTTATGATTGCTTTTCATAGAGACAACAAGTTGATTTGGATAATGAATATGCGGCAGACCCTTAACCATATTTCTCTTCGTCAAGAGATTTACACCCTTAAAATTTAGACGGTCAAGTCTCAAATGCCGTAAACATGTTGAATCTTTGGCACATGCTTCCAAAAAATCCACTTCAAATATTCAAACAAGAAAATTAGTTCAGTACGGAAACGATTTAAGTGACATCGAATTTTGAGTTTTTTGTCATGGATTAATGATGATAAAAATATAAAACGATATTACAAAAAGACTAAAAATGACATAATTTATAAGTTAAATTTGTTCCTTGTGATTTTTCATAATTTGATATTGTTCTATAATAATTTCATTATCAATCTTAAAAAATGTATCTCATTGAAAAAATTGAATTTTTATATATTATGATGTATTGCCTTTTTTTTTTTTTGAAGCCTCTTTCAAAAAATGAACAATGAATTTCTGTGCTATTATGTATTGTCTTTTGTCTTATAAAAAACTTGAATATCTTGTTGTTATATAGAAACTCTATGAGTTCAAAGATTATTCCTATTGATGTTGGGAAGATAAAACTTTCATATTGCCAATGCCTATTACACTTATCTTTAGCATACTAATTCAACTAGGCAAGTGTAGGCAATCTTTAGCATTCTAATTGAACAAACTTTTGGTCCATTCCATTATTGTACTCCAAATATAGGGCTCTCAAAAAAGAAAAAAAAAGGGGCATGGGCCCAAAGTTCCGTGTAGATTTGCCAGCACTAGACCATATGGGGCTCCGACCCTAATTACACGTAAATTGAAATCTGTTTATTCTTCTTCAATCATTTATTCTAAAAAAAAATAAAAATAAAATATTGTTCCACCCATTAAAATTTGTAATAATGGGAGCTTAATAACTGTGGAAGCTCGTTGTTTCGTTTTAGAATGTAAATTTTGTTATGCTTTGATAAACTGTGTTATCTGTTTCATCTTTAGTGATGCAAGATATTATTCTTAGCATATGCTTTGCACGATGGTAATTTGTTTGAATACATCAATCTTAAAATTTTAAAAAAAAAAAAATCAAATGTTTGTTTGAAGTTTAATGAACTCAAATATAGCCCCAATTTGAGAGTTATACTTTTCGAACTTTTTCTTCTACATACTCATTTTCAATTAAATATTCACACTATGAAATATTTTGTACGTGAATTCAAACATTTTTTTTCTACTTTTTAACCATACATTATCTTAAAATTTATTATTCAAAACTCTTTTTTTCGAAAAGTATGATTGCCAAATATGGGCTTAATTTTAAACCTTGAGGTTTAGAAAAAAGCTTCATCGTTGAAAATTAGATTCGTTAAATTGTGATTGTCAGGTGTTGGTTTGAGAATATTAATATTGTAATTTCTTCATTTATGTTCGACTGTTGAAATGTCAACAATTTATATTGATAAATTGATTGAGAATTGATTTGTGCCAAACTTAAATAAATTAACAATT